TCATGTACCGTTGATTTAACAAAACAATTACCTTTATGGGCCATTATGTGTTTGTGACATTTGAATTGCCACTTAATACTGGCTATTATAACAATTTAGAGGATTGATAACATGATCAGTGACGCCATTTTGAATCCGTGGGCGGCAGCTATGATTTTGGAATGGTAACGTCAATTTAGTTTGTCCAAATAATTTATTTTATTGTATCTCTAGATTGTTATTTAAAATTAAATTTCGAGCTTTTAATAAATAAATGATAATTTTATGTATTTTAAAAGGTTCTTGCTCTCTTTTTTGAATTTTTTTTTTTAGAAAACCAAGTCAATAACTGGTTATTATTCGATATTAATAATTCATTTTAGATCGCATAAGGCGATGGTCACACTTGCGTGGCGTGGGAGCACTCTCTTTGTTTTCAATTAATAAATATGTTGGGAATACCAACTTGTACTTCGCAGCCGTACAAATCGAATAGGACGATATCCATTGCAGCTTGCTAAGTATAATATAGGTGACCTGCCATTGCGAAAACGGAATGTATATGTAACATAAGTGATCTATTTCAGCTATTGAAGTCTTACTGTAGGTAATGTTGGTTGTTGGCGGAACTCGTACATCGTTCCACGTTCACGGTCACTTGGCTATTTAGCAAGTACTGGATTTAAAAACTATATCTATTTGATATACTATTCTTAAAATATGTAATCTGGTTGACCCCGTTGGAATAATATTTCTAACTATACAATTGGTACCTAGATACGAAATATTTTAATTAACAAACGGAGCGGATGAATACATAGGTACGTAACATCACGCCTTTTATCCCCGAAGGAGTATTCAGAGGTGCACATTATGCCACTGTACAATGTAACACACACTTTTTTATGTTATGAGTCCCATGTAATAGGGGGTGAGCCTATTGCGGAGCGAATGAATCTTGATAAATATAGGCAAGTTCGGAAAGTTCCATGTAGTATTAAGAGAAAGCTTGATTTAACCTTTATTAGGACTCAATTTCGAAGTTTTCATTATCTTACAGTAACTTGTATAATATGTAAATTTAATTACATTACAAATTAATTACAGCTTCGTTAAGACTCCTAAAATAATGGCGCACTCGAACATTACTTTCGGCATTCGGACCTCTCATTCACCAGACGAAACGCAGTAACATTACGTCACAACTTCACGCTGGTAATTCTATGAGAAGGTGCTTTTGTCTATACTTTAATTTTCATTGTCTATGGACTTTAGTGTAGTCTGTTACAAAGGCTATTATAACCACTTTCCTTATGGTCGATCCACATTGTCTGTGTTGAAACAAAAGGCAGCAATTGCTCACAATAGTACCTATCAGTGTATGCAATCATTATCTCGTCAATCGATTTCAATATGCACCATGATTTGCAAAATTGTACCTAAACATTCTGACGTTTGGTGTCACTTTTGTGTATCAATTTACAGCAGTTTGAATTATAAAGGATTTAGATATTTTTTTGACGCATTTTATAATAGGGTAGATGCCTAATTTTTATTTTAATGTCCGTCTGGTAGATTACTTGAAAACACTAGACACATATTTTTTATTTTCTTACAGAAACAAATAGTTTCGACGATATATTGATTTGAAATGTCGCGTTACGTCACTTCTATGTACATTTTATACGTAGAAATGACGTTTTAGCTCCCACTACTAAACTTTGATTCGAAATTATTTTAGTAAACAACGAAATAAAAAAATACGTGTCTAATATTTTTTCGTTATCTAACTTACGGACTAAATAGATTTTTAATTTTCGTACCCCGTCATCATCCAAATTGTAATAGAATATAAATGCATTTGCATATCATTGCTTTTTACCTAACTATTACGACTTTCTTAAAACGGACATGCTTATCGTCATAGACCACACGGGTTACCGGGGCTCCGGCTCGACGTGCAGGAGAAGGAACGGGGTGGTTTTTAGTCAATAAAAGTCTGACACTCCCTCCCGCCTCACTCAGGCGGGAGCAGACATTCGATGATTTTCCCCCCTTAAAAAAAGACCACAATTTAAAAGGTTGGCAAACTGATCTAATAAGCTTGTAATCTTAGAACACTGGTGATCACTTAAGACACTTAATTCATGAATATGTAGAACCAATTTTTTGTAATTGGTTTTTCATTTAACGACACATGGTTGTGCTGTTAAGGCCACATTACGCGAACGAGTGCACACTGTAATATTCGCCTTCATTTTAACATGTAATTGCTTGCTGGGGTCCAGTGGACCAGTACTTTAAATTAAAGGGTTGAATGGTAAGCAATATTAAATTTACTTACCTATATGAATTGTTTGTCTGATTGCAGTTATTGGATTTTTTGTATAATGTGCTTTTTCAATCCTGGTGTCCAAAGAGTGTTAGAAGTTTTACTTGTTTGTGTTTCTTAACCATTTTGTAGCCATACGCTTCATTCATCTGGCAGTGTAGCTTTTAAATATATGAATCAATATAGGTAGGTATTATTTTCAAGATGTATTAAGATCCTAATAAAATATTGCTAAGGCAATATTTCAATTTTGCATTGCACCTTCAAAAGCAGTGGTTTAAGAAAATCTATTAGTTCTTTCAAGATTTTAACCTTTTTTTTGTTACTAGTAACTTTTCCAAGTCTTATCGATTCCAACACAATACCCAATTAAAAGAAAAAAGCACACGAAATTCAATACAAAGACAAGTCTATTATTTTAAAATTTGTCCATTCCAACAAATGAACGAATATGAATGAAATAAATAAACTAAACTACATCAAAAATAAACTTCCCATTCTCATAATGTTTCCAATAAGTTAAAGAGTTACACGGTAAAGTAATTAAATATAAATTTGTAACAAGATATAAAATGATGGCTGTCCCATCACTCATTTATCATCTCTTAGCACATCAAGCTATCCAATATTTTAAAATTCTCCCATTACATTTTCAACTTAATACAATATAGAGACAAAGTTGAGAATGAATTAAAGAATTTTAAAAGAACGAGGTACCTACAACGTTTAGTTTTTATGGAGGTTAAAACTATGGGAGGCGGTATAGTTTATATTCTTTTGTTTTAAATGTCGACAGCGATTAGAATTACGGTCTTTTGTCTGCCCACGCTTTTACGATTTGATATCACCTGATGCAATAGTTTAAATGATTTAGTTGAAGTTGTAGTTCGATTATAAACTTTTTTACAGGGAGGAAAATCAGCTAATGACTTCACCCGCCTTTGGTGTGGCGAGGTCCCAGTGTTTGACACTCACTGACTAAAAACCTACTCCTGTTTCTAGCTGGAGCCCCGGTAGCCCAATAATTCGTCCACAGCTAATTAATTACATAACAAAGTAATGTCCGAATGTGCGAGTATTGTATCTTTGTTAAAAATCTATTACTAGAAAACTATTTACAAAAAAGTAAGCAGTAATAAATTTAACATAACACACACGCCCCTTGACACTTAATGCCACTGTACAATGTAACACCCGCTTTTCACTTTTTTATGTAATGGGGGGTGGGCCCATTGCCATATACCGGGCACAATCACAGACTCCGTGCTACTACTGAGACTAATTTTGACTGACCTGGACTTCGAACCCGAGGCCGAGTCGCACTTGCGACCACTCCGCCAACGAGGCAGTAATAAATATCTTAAAAATAAAATCTTGTCGACACTGCATTCAACATTAATTTGTATGTTCGATATAGAACGTCATTTGTCAAATATAACGATTCGCCTTACAGTTTAACGATCTTAACGATAGCCGGTAATAACGAAACAGTGTGATCATTCGTTATCATTATACTTCACAGTATGGTTCTAGTTGATATATGGTTCATATTAATTTATTAAATTCTTAATAAAAGAATAAGGTACTTTAAGTAAGAAGGATGGATATCGTTAATTCAGTTAAAAATTGAATTAGTATTTATTTATTGATATGATTGTTAATTTATGGAATAGAATTAGTTATTTTTTTAATATTATTCGTAGTGTAATTTGGTAGTTTGTTGATAGTTAGAACTAGTCATCTATTAACTTATAGAAAAGCCGTAGGGATTGTTGAAAACTATGGTTTTGGACATATTTAGAACTAGCTACTTCCGCCCGGTTTCACACGCTATGTTCAGCTCTTATTGGTCGTAGCGTGATGTTTTATAGCCTAAAGCCATCCTCGATAAATGCGCTATCCAACACAAAAATAATTATTCAAATCAGACTTGTAGTTACGGAGATTAGCGCGTTCAAACAAATAACCAAAAAAACAGCTTCCGCTTTATATGATAAACTAGCTTCTGCCCGCGACTTCGTACGCGTAATCCCATTTCTTCCCGTCCCCGTTCGTGATTTTCGGTAAAAAGTAAAAAAAAATGTTGGTTAAAAAGTATCCTATGTCGGTCTCCTGACTCTAAGCTACCTCCCTACCAATTTTCAGCCAAATCTATTCTGCTGTTCTTGAGTTATAAGTGGTGTAACTAACACAACTTTCTTTTATATATATAGATAAATATAATAAGTATAAGATTTTGGAGTTTATATTCCTGTAGTTACGTCTAAATTTTAAACGAGACTTTAATAAGGTAGTCTAACTCGTATACCGCTTTTCCTTTTAAGGTACACATTTGTAAAAAAAACAAAAATGTGTAATATTCGTTTTTTATTACGTACTTTTCAGAAAACAATATTATGTTAAACTCATTGCCTTCTACACCCTTTCTATTAGGTATAAAAAACTAGATCACAAGTACGTTTTTTAAAGAGTGGAATTGAATCACTTATGTTATTAACACAAACGTGAAAATTCGCTAATATTGCAAAACTTAAAATCAATCAATTAGGTATCAACTAAATTTAGATAAAACTTAACATATCGGTTACTAAGACAAATGTGTTACTATAGTATAGTAGATAGTTCCGAGAAAAAACCTATTTTATTTATTTTTATTTAAGTTAAGTAGTAGATAATCATAATTCTATTAATATTCTGATGATAGTCGCTTATTTTTTCTGTATTTTCATAGAGAGTAAAGTAATGTTTTAGGATATTATTCAGATACAAGTCGAAATAACCGTTTCACTGCACTTTATTTTAAGATGTGATTGTACCTATTAGTTTTTTCTTTTATTCCGACTTCGAGTTGGCAGCCGGTGGTTTTTCCAGATTTGGTATTTGTGGTTCTTCGTAAGTAAATGATAGTTTTTTCATACCTTTTATTGAAAAGTCGAAATTGAACTTTACTTTTGCTGGATATTCAGTCGGCGGTTTATCAGTTTTTGTTACTTCAGGTTCAGTATTGACAGTCAGCGGTGTTTCCGTTTTTATTCCTTCGGGTACAGTAACTTTGATTGTGGGCGGTAAATATGTACTTGTTACGTCTGACACTCTGTTATCATATCTTTTTTTTGATTTTCTGTATTTTGAATCTAATTCTACATATCCTGTACGTTTACCGACTGGTTTATTTTTTGGCCTTGGTCTCCTTGTGTAAGGACGATAAGTTTTCAAATCCTCTACGAAATCCGCAATAATATTTGAAGAAACTAGTTGCGGGGTTAAAATGCATGCAATTTCCAGCAGTGTTAGCCAGCAAAATACTGAAAAAAAAATCAATTTCATTATTTGATATTTCTTTATCTATTGGCCTTAGAACATTTAGTGTCCAAAGGTCCTGCGAGGGGATTTACCTGGTAACATAGATGGTTTAACATAGACCTGGTAAAAAAATCCAGTACCCTTCCTACAGTCGGATAAAAGAAGATTTTTTTTAATGGGCGAAAATCGTCGAATGACTGCTCCCGCCTGGGTGAGGCGGGAGGGAGTGTCAGACTCTTACTCACTAAAAACCACCCCGTTCCTTCTCCTCCACGTCGAGCCGGAGCCCCGGTTACCCGTTAGGTCCTCCGCGACAGGATAGGAAAGGCACGTAAATCTACGTACATTGTGGTAAAAATTTCTTATTTGGATCGAGTACTATAAAGCACCATTTAGTAAATTGGTAGAGTTTAAAATGTCCTATCACTGGCCGTTTTTACTTACTGAAAATAATAGTAAACAAACAAACAAAGAAAGTATCGTAATTTACACTTGGGAGCAAAAAAACGGTGCCAGCCTAGTGTTTTTTTTTTTATTTCTTGACAAGTATATTTTCTAATGAAATCTTTATTAATATATATTATAGAGGTATAAGTGTATTTAAATTATATTTGACTAAATCTGTACTAGGTACTAGGTACTTAGTCTTCTCAGGTGTTTATAGAAGATCTAATAAGTTATATTATCGTAAGGGTTATAATAAAATGTTTACTTACACCGTGAAAAAATCATAATGAAATTTTATTATTCTTCAAATGAAAACGTCGAAATGAATTCCAATAGGTTAATTAAAATGATTAAGATCGTTGATGTATTTATTAAAAGCTAATCTCATTCGTTAATGTTTCAATTAATTTCAATTTTAAAATTGCCATGTATTGTAATTTTCTACAGATTTTATTCTTTAATTAATTTTGACGCATTTATTGCAAAACATAATATCATGATAAAGTCCTAGCAAATTCCATAAAATTATAAACAATTGCAGCCAATAAATTCGTAATATTTCTTCAATATCGAACTCAAATAAATATTTTTTTGTGATACAGCGTAAGTAACAATAAAATAACCTTTATAATTTTAAAAACGCAGTTGAATTTCTGCAATAAAAATCAGTTTCACTTATTTAGTTTCTATTTACAAGATAACATCAAGATAAAAATATATAAGTCAGTTAGAAATAGTCTTATCCGCAATAAAAACCGAAAATTACATTAAAAAGTGTATCACAATTTATTTTTCTTTACTTTAATGTAATATCTTAGCACTATTATTAGTGTAATGATATATATTTTTAGGTTAGAATGTTCTAACCTAGACCACAGACCAAATTACCATAGAGTATTATTCTATTTTACAATGGTTGACGACAATCGATAAGTTGACTGTTTTTTTAAGGGGGGAAAATCATCGAATGACTGCTCCCGCCTGGGTGAGGCGGGGGGAAGCGTCAGACTCTTACTGACTAAAAACCACCCCGTTCCTTCTCCTGCACGTCGAGCCGGAGCCCCGGTTACCCGTTAGGTTCTCCGCGACTATAAGTTGAGTGAAAGGCGGCACATTCAAATTACAGAAAATGGCGACTTATATAAATGAAAAAAAATTTTTTTTTTTTGCTTTTCCATATTTTTTTTAATATGTGCTATTTTTATCACCGGGTACTGTGTATATAGCCATAGATACCTAACATTCAGATCGATTTTTAATTTTAATTTTGGTATTCATGCAAATGCAGTGACATTTATTTATTAACTACTAACTAGGATCAAAATCGTGACTAAACAAATAGAGTGTAAGTAAATCTTACTTCGTGTGTACGGCCTATATTTTCACAGCACCTGCCTACTATCGCAATGGTAAATTATCGTTTTACCTGTTTAGATCGCGTCGTGACCAGAATACAGTGAATTGCCGTCCACTCCGTCCAAAATTACGTATTAGAATTAGCTATAGCAATAGCATAGAAATAGTTTGTGTCATTGTCGAGATGTGATGGAAATTACAACTTTCATTTTTGACAAATGAATGTCAATGCCACGTTGAAGACGACTGTTAGACAATTAGGCATTGGCCTAAAGCATCAAGTCCCCCTATACAATTACATACATTTTTTTTGTATTAACTCCTAATAAATAATAAATAAGAATTTTATTTTTATTAAAACGCCAATCGTCAGTTTTCTAATCAAAAACTGTTAATTGGTTAAACTTTGGTTACATTACACTTATTTAAGTTTAACGTTAAACTATTTACTTATTTCGAATGTAATGTTAAAACATTGTGCCGCTGTGGTGTGCGTGTTAAACGGGCATCAATACAAAAGAGTATCAATTACGTGTCACACGTAATAGCATCCGAAGTCCAGCGGAGTCCATGTCATGTGCACATTTCATGGGTCGTTAGTATGCAGTGCCCGAGGTGGGGCACTGCACAATAAGATTTGACAAAGACTTACAACATGTACAAAATATAGATAATTGTTATGCTGACAGCTGGCCCAAGGTCTGTGTAACTTTTCACTACTTCGATACACATTTTTTTTTTTAAGCGAGGAAAATCTTCGAATGACTACTCCCGCCTGGGTGAGGCGGGAGGGAGTGTCAGACTCTTATTGACTAAAAACCACCCCGTTCCTTCTCCTGCACGTCGAGCTGGAGTCCCGGTTACCCGTTATGTTCTCCGCGACTTCGATACACAATATGCATGCTTTTTATTAAGAAAAAGAATATGTTTTAATTTTACGACATTGGAGATTATAATGGGGGCAAGCAAGATGTACCTATGTCAAGGCGTATGTTACACCTTGTTATTATATTTTTATTGCCGAAATTAATAAAGGATCATAATCGAAAATCTGTATTGATCTCAGTTTTTGACGAAATCTCCATTGATACAAAATATCGATCTCAATTCAAATATTTTGGATAGTAGCCGGTTATAAAGGGACTACAGTGGATGGAGGTGGCGAGTTTTTATTGGGGGAAGCCTTTGGCAGCAGGACGTCTTCTGGCTGTTGATCACATGATGATGGTGAAGGGAGGCCTCTTCATCAGTCGTATTTCGTTATTTTGTCGTATAAGAAATCGGTACTTAGATAAAACGAATCAAAGTCTACGTTATTTTAGAGTATAAATCGTACTCAAAAGTGACGTCATGCGATATTTTAAATGAGTATAATATCCTCGACACTATTCGTTTCCGTAAGAAAATAAAAATACATACGTATAAAATATAAATACGTGTCTAATATTTTTGGACATTGAAATAAAAATTAGTCATATCCTATTGTACCTACATACATATTCTATTGAAATCGTTAGTAAACAAAACTACAGTAAATTCTACTTTATAGTTTGACCCGAACTGATCTTAGTTCTTGCCACACACCAGTTTACTTCAGACTTGTCTTTATTTATAAACTATCGTTTCTTCCAGGGTTCGGGTACGATCTCCCGATTTTTCCTATGTATAAACCAATATTTTTGTCGGTAATAGATAACAACAAAAGCTGAACATTGTAATATAGAGAATCATAATTGTAAGACTCATATGCATCGTCATTTCACAATGGATTGAAACAAATAAAAAAAATTAAAAAATCTCTAGAACAAGTTTTCGAATTTCAAATTTTTAAACGATATTGTTTTGAATACCGGCTATTGATGTGTCATCATCTCAGAAACGGTCACAGATTCAAAATTAAAAACAAATTATCGAATTTATATTGTTTAAATACATACATTCTTAAATCTGATATTTTGTCTTTATAGTTGCGTTCTAGAACTGCGACTTATCTGTCAAGTGTGGGGGTTTTAGCACCTTTCATAAGGAAGAAACAGAATGACACTTTGTCTTGAAAATAACGCTTATAAAAGGAAAGGCTTGTTCAATCTGTTATAGTCATTCTCAAGTTATAAAGCAAAACACTAGCCAACTTGTCTGTTTGCGAAACCGAAAACTACTGAGTGCCAAGCACGAATAACTATCGCATTCGTATCGTAACAGTATCGAGCGAATTAAGCGTTCTGATTGGTTGGTTCACTTGAGCCGGCCAATCAGAGCGCCGAACGCGCTCGATACTATTACGTTACGAATGCGATAGTTATTCGTACTTCGCACTCTGAACAAATTTGTATATGGTTTTCGTCAGTCGATAGACAGATTCTTAAAGAAGTTTTAATGAAACGTGAATACTTGGAAACTAGGGGCATAAAGATAATAGATACTTATTTATATAGAAAATAGAAATAACGGTAGTCTTTATATTTATGGGTAGTTAGACTAAGTGTTTTCGCATGCACCCGTGCGTGACACACCTTAACAGTGTTTCACATAAATGGTAACTTTCTTTTGTGATATTACGACTTTAGATACTACCTAATAGGGACTGACTTAAGTTAACAAGAAAATCCCTTTAAGTTAATTTGGTACATTGCTTTTTAAGTAAAATAATTTATAACTTTTGCACATGTTTTTTTATAATAACTATTGTGAGACATACTGATTAACTAAAAATTACTAGTTACTCATGTAAATAGGTATATTGAGAAAAACGCCACTGGTTTTGGGTCACAGAGAGACTCCTCCACATGAGCAGAGTGCACGGTCGCGGCGACGTCGCGCAGCCTACATGACTCGAAACTAATAAAGTTTTTCTCAGTATATTTTATTTAAGTAAGTCGTAATTTTTAGTTCACTTTTGCTTTTGCACAGTTAGACAGATTTCGTTTATGGTCACCAAGCATAATTTCTAGGGTTTGGCATTTTTAGATTTGGAAAAGACAAGGGTCTATTATAATTCTAGATTTCAAAACATGCAATAATAGCCTTGAGTTCAGAATTGACTTTAACCTCCATTATTACGACATAAGATAAAATAACCAACTTGAAAAAGGTTTATTGTGGTAACGTCTCTGCTTACCCCATTTAGAGAACAACAAACGTCTATTATAAACAATAGCAATTTATTATTCTCCTAAATGACGCCGAATAATATCAAATTACGTTTATCAGATTGTTTTGTATCCTTTCACTATAGTGACTAGTGGACAATGTGGGCGTGCGCTTGCCCATGCTCAAGGGAGCACAGATCGTGACCGGAC